GCGCATCTGAATAAAAACTCAGTGTGGCTTTGAATATCTTTACTAAAATCCGCAGCATACATAAACAGATCGAAACATTGTTATCAGCATGGTCAGTTCAGACTCACGTTAAGTTACAGAAATGCACTGCCATGTTGAGGCTTCTCACATAACTCACTAACAGTATACCAATAAAGGAAAACATTTGGCACAACTCCTACATTATACAGATTAGTATTGTGCCTCCTGTTTATTACAGCTGAATGTACAGTCATGTTACAGGCTTTACAGACACAATTTCTTATATGTACCACCACAAGGTCTTAAGTGGATGATACATGGACTATTTACGTCTATTTACTTGTGTATGTTCCGTTCATATATTATGTCTAAATGACTAAATGCCCTATCCTAAATACCAAATGCCCAATCCTAAATACCAAATCCCTAATCCTACATACAAAATGCCCTATCCTAAATACCAAATCCCCAATCCTAAATGACTAAATGCCCTATCCTAAATACCAAATGCCCAATCCTAAATACCAAATCCCCAATCCTACATACAAAATGCCCAATCCTAAATACCAAATCCCCAATCCTAAATGACTAAATGCCCTATCCTAAATACCAAATGCCCAATCCTAAATACCAAATCCCCAATCCTACATACAAAATGCCCTATCCTAAATACCAAATCCCCAATCCTAAATGGCTAAATGACTAAATGCCCTATCCTAAATACCAAATTAATTTTCGACTTCGACTTTTAGTTTTTGATTTCGACTTTTAGTTTTAGTTCTGACCAAATAATCCCTCCATACCTGTAAACTTTTATCTGACATACTGTAAGTAACAGCAATCTTTTTTATTTAAATTCCACTACAGTACTTCTATTACTGGACCTGTCTACTCCTAGATCATTTCAGAAGCATGGCTCTTGCATGGTAAAAATCTTATCTTTCTAGAAGAACACGGTGTGTTCCTTTATAATAACATGATGTGAAACATGGAACACCTCAGGGCTCTTTGTTGACCCTCTGCTTTTCTCTTTATATATTATTTCTCATGGCCACATTATGAACAGTTTTGGAATTAATTTCCACTGCTGCCCTGATGATGCTCAGCTGTCTGTGCCTGTAAAGGCAGATAATGATGGTCACAGTAGGAACCTAGAGGCCTGTATATCTGCTGTGAAATCCTGGATGTTGTAGCATACCTACTTTACTTTTAATGCAAATTGTGAATAATAATATTCCAAATATTAATTCATAAATCCTCGTTAAGGGAACAACCGGAAATTCAGTTCGCCCAGGGTCTCTGGACTCCCTAGGTAACGTTATGGCTTTAATAATTACACAATTATTCCTAGTGATCAGTTACTAGTAAATGCTTAATCATTTCTATAAAATCAATCAGTCAATCTCATATCGAAGGCGTTCCTGTGATTATGGTGAAATTTATTAATTAACTAAATGTGGCAGGATGAGGTTTTCTTTCCCTCCCTCTTACCTGTGCACGGGAAGGTGCACCAGCACACCTGGGGCTCTTCCCTTTTGATTGGGAGAGGTGGGGAGCTTTTTAAGCCTGTGTGGTAGACTCTTTTGGGTTTCTGTCTTCTCCTATTGGGTGTGAGACTTGTATGGGCTTGCGTGCTGCACGTTTGTTGCTGTTGCCAGAGGTTGTTAGTTTACTGCGGAGTGGTAAGGAAGTCTTTTTATCTTTGTGCCTTTCAGTGTTTGCATTGTTGTGCGGGTGGCACTAATGAGCGTTCTCTCATAGAGCCGACTTTGTTTTGGCCGTGGATATTCCCCGTGTGGCTAGATGAATACCTGGGCTGCTGGCGTTGGGTGCCTCGGTAAGCTACATGCCTCCCTCTTCGTCCTATTTGGTGTTTATCAAGATCTGATAGTCTTATTTGTTATAGTTGGGTGCTGTGTGGTTGCGCGGATTGCTTGCCCCCCTGCCGGGGTCTGAGGGTGGCGTGTCCCGTAAAGTGGTAAATACCTTGTTTGCCTGTTTGCTACAATTTATCGTGGCCCTGTTTTAATGGTGTGTTTTCACATCACAGCGGGACCGAGCTACATCCGTGTGCATGCTGCTGTCGAGGCTGCTGGGTGCCACAGTTATCTAAGAGGTTAACACTCCCCGGCGCGTTTCTCCTCCCACTCTTGCTGTTCTGGATATCGGTATAAAACTTTGCTGTATATTGATACAAACAGTGTCTGGATATATGACTGTCCTGGATGCACAGAACTGGTTTGGAGCGATACGTTTTAAGTGTTTGAATATCCAGACATTGGCTCTGTAAATATTGGTATTAACTGGATGTATATTGCATGTGGGTTTGTCTGTGTTTTTTTTCTTTGTGTTTGATTTTGATCCTTTAATTACGCATGCGGGTTTGTTGAATTGAATGGTATTTGTTTTTTTTTCTCTAATACGCATTATATATCTTTTCTTAATAGAGCAGGTGTTGCTATTTTAATATATGACAAAAGAAAATTGTATATTTTTTAGAATTACTTGATTGTCTCTGCCCCCTAATTTTGATAAAACGATCTGTGCTTTAAAGGTCTTGGGCCTATCCCAAGTGGCGTTGTCGGACATTTTCAGCTTCTCGAGTGTCATAGGCCGGTCGTTTCTGCCACATAAAGGTGGATATAAAGTGCTGCTATGGACTGGCGACCTGTCCAGGGTGTACCCCGCCTTTCGCCCGATGCCAGCTGGGATTGAATCCAGCCCCCCCGCGACCCTGTAAGCAGGATAAGCGGTTGACGATGGATGGATATAAAGTGAGTTTAAATATATCAAATACAACAATAATGATTAAACAAACAGGATGCGATCAATGAAAATGATGGCTTTAAATGTGGATTTAGTGGTCTGTGCTTCTAAGGAGGCAAGAGAACCAATAAACGCAAGTTATGGTAATAACGCAGTTAAATTTGGCTAGGATTAAACTAACAGATTAAAAGACTATTGGACATCAACTCAACCACAGAATGCCGTTGGTTCCTTATTGCTTGTTGTTTCTCCAGCCGGTTGGTGTTCGGCCGGTCTCACGCTGGCTGAGTTGCATGCGTTCTCGGTTGAGACGGCCTTCGGCCAGTTGCTTTCTCTGCCAGGGAATTGCTCCGGAGATCCGCCCTTTGGCTTGGTTTGAAGAAAACTTGCAGTGGTAGGCTGTTAACTGGCTTTAGTTGTGGGTTTTGATGTCCTTTCCGTTACTGCTGGTGTAACGGACACACGTGGCTGGGGTATAAATTCACTCGACTACAATAAAGCTTAAAAGAACTTGGTCGTTCTTGAATTCAAAGCTGCGCGACTGTCTGATAAATTTTAACAAACAAAACTAAAGAAAATATAAGCAAGAAAGTTGCTGGAAACAAGGGAAAAGTCAAAGTCGCGACGCTTCGTGTGTGTGGCTTGAAGAACAAAAATCTTCACGGCAAGCCGTGCCGGACTTCTTAGGGCGTTGGCTGATTCAGGAGAGGTTAGTCTCTGGTCAGTGTTGATATTGTCATTTTAACAGTCAGGGCATTGAGTCTTATCTCAGCTTCACCAGAGGTGGTAAGTTTTTACGATCTAACTGCCCAAAACAGCACTTAGGGGAAAGCAAACCTTTCATTTGGGTCAGGCTGTCTGTTCAGGGGGGAGACATAAAAATAATTAAAAACACACTGGTAGTACACTACAATGCCATTTAATTTCCTGTTCCTAAATTGTGATAAAACTGAGATGCTGGTCAGTGGCCATTCTCAACATAGACACCAGTTTGATCAGTAACAGTAACTCTTCACAACTGTGTGAAGTTTGACAGCCAAGAATATTGTTGAGCTGCTTCTCTTCCTGAATTGTCTTCCATTTCCCCTCTTAAAAGGGTTCTTTGGGGAGTTTTCCCATTCAAATCGAGGTTGTAAGGACAGAGGGTGTTGTGTGCTATAGAGATTGTAAAGCCCCTTGAGGCAAATTGTGATACTGGGCTATATCAATGGAATGGGCTGGATAAACGAAAGTTGACTTCACCTGACTTTACATAGTGCCCTCTACGGTGGCCCAATGTGCAAGAAAATCTAATGGTTTTAGTAGCTGTAAAGCTCCAAGAGGATTTTACAGAATAGTTGCATATCACATTACATGTCATCTGTGTAGCACTTGTGCGTGTCACACGGTGTCACAACACCCACATTATGAAACAGCAGGTGGAGCAATCAACCACCAAATTTAGACCCAAAGTTTACACACACACAATCAGAATGAAATGTTACTAACTGGACTTCTTCCCTCTCCTGTAGTTTTGTGCTCTCTCATCCTTCTCCTCTCTCCATCTATTGCTTTTTGCATGTGTCTCTAGCTCCAAAACTGTGGAGTCTGGATCTGTGCCTGATACTATTTTTGTTGTGTTAGTTTCTTCATTTATTGGTATTTAATTTAAATCTTTTAAGCAGTAATCCGTTTTTTTATGGATGAATAAATTTGAACCTTGAACCACTTTATAAAGCAAAGAACTGCCTATTTACACACCGGCATATATGGAGCAACATTAGCATTCATTTGAAGTCATGTTTCTGGCCACCTGTAAGTCCAGTATTTACTTTTGACCTTTTAGCTGCTATGTTCACCAGCTGCTTGCTAGATTCACCAGTCTGCGATGTCAAGTGTCACAATATTCGATCTTTTAATTCCCTCAACCTATCTTCCTGTCAAAATCAATAGTGAACATTCCTGAACGACTGCATTCAGCTCTGAATTCTTAAGAAAAGAGGCTGCTGTTACTTGAATGTGCTGCATTGCATGGTCTGGTCACAAACTAGTCCAGACTGTTGACTGGACACAACAGTATGTTCACCTTATGCCTGAAATGGATACCTGCCCCCCCTTTTGTGTCAGAGCATATGAGTTTTTGATTGCTGGCTCAGTTTCTGAAATTGCCCAAAAAAAGTCCAACAAACCAACTTCCCTGTTTAGCTGCTGTTATTTCAAACCAAGTCGACTTCCTCTGATAAAAGCCACATAACCACAGAGCAACTCATGCTCAATTTAATATTAGAGAAATGCAAGTTCCCGCTTTTACTGCTAACTTTATCATTAAATACACGACATGAGTTTTTGCAACATATCTTTACAAAGCAAACAGTGTGCTGGATGAACACATACTGTGTGTATATATACACATGTATGTATTGCAATTGCAAAGACAATAAGCAAAACTGATAAGCAGATAAAGGAAAATAATTACTATTACTAAGATGTCCAGGCTCCAGTGTCTTTTTCTAAATTAACCAACATAAAAATAGCTTCTGAATAAAAAAAAAGGTACATTTAATATGAATTCTACACAAATGTAATCACTTTCCACAAAAAAACAATCATTTTTTCTTCACTTGAGCGTAGAGATCCTCTGGGCCGTCAGCAGTCTGTGTTAAGCTGTTCGCTGGCTGGGACACTTTGACCTGTGCATACAGAGTATCCTGCTGCTGTCCACTGTCCTGCGCTGAGTCAGAGGACGGTTCAGGTCTCTGGTTGGAGAAGTCGATCTCACCATATTGGATGTCTTCTTCTTTTTCTTCAGTTTTAAATGCTGGGTTTTCAACAGCCAGCTCTTCACGTGTATGACTCTGTAAAAACATGAAATTTTGCGAGTAGCTTAATGTAGATTTTCCTCTGGACCTGAAGTCCAGATTCAGCTTTTACTGGACAAACAGCAGCAAAACATCTTATATTGAGTCACAAAGAGCTAAACAAACACTGTCTACTCAATCTTCAGTGTATTGCTAAGAGGATATTTTATCACATTTCCTGTGTCTCTTTTGTCCATTTAGTGTTCAGTTAAAAGTGCTTTCATGTATGTTACAGTACAGTCACTGTGAAGAGATGCAGAAAAGTTTAGTATTTTCCCACCTGACTCAGTTGTTGAGTTGAATGTGTCGACTTTAACCGCCTCCCACACAGGACAGCGCTGTAAAATAAATAATAAATAAAACATCTGGATTAGTACGTAAATTGAATGCACCATGTTTGCTCTTTGAGATGTTGGTGCAAAGATGTTCAAACAAACAGAACACATAATCATCTGTTCCTTCCTCTTGAATGTGGCTGTAGCTGAAAGTTAAGTCGCAGAAACTGAGTCACATTAGCTGCTTTAATTTGATTCTTACCAAACACTGACAACCAGGCAGACAAGTAAAATGACTCCAAGGATTCCTCCAAGAACTGCCCCCCAGTTTAGAGATCCTGCTCATAAACACATCAAATATAAGTGACCACTAAAAGATGACAAAACTTTTTCATATGGATTCAAACCAGTTCAATATTTACCTTCACTATTAAGATTGATTATTAATGATGTTTCATTACCAACATAATTTTTCCTGCTAACGTCAGACACAATTTCTAACCAACATGCCTTATGTCCAGCATGCATCATGTTAAGTCAGTGCTGCGCAGTGTCGCATGAAGTCAAACGCACCTAATTCTGACGTAGCCATTGCTGAAGTTCAGCATTTCATATTTACCTTCAAGAGTCAGATGGAACTCTGACGTCTGATTACCGAGATCATTTGTGGCCACACAGTAATAAACTCCTTCATCAGTGACATTGGTCACCTTGAAGCTGTAAACCTCTCCTTCAGATACAGTCTTGGGTCCATCTGTGCTGCTCTTGAACCAGGTGAAGCGGCTGACGGGAGGCTTGGCTCTGCTGGAGCAGGTCAGGTTCACCCAGCTACCTGCTGACACCAAACCTGATGGACTGATGGACACTGAGGTGTTTTTAGGAGCATCTGAGGAAAATGTGAGATTCACTTTATTCAAATCAGCTGACATCCCATCAATCATCATGTGATGACAGGATCCAATAACAAACTCTGCTTGTCTTACATGAAACACTGAGAGTCTTTCTCTCCTCTGCTGTCTTGACATCTTTTCCTTCATTCACAGGATATCTGGCAGAACAGGTGATGTTGTATCCATCATGTTGGTCTGACAGAGTGATGGTCTCCTGGATTTTAGTTGTAAAGGTTCGATCTGTGTTTTCCTCTGTGTTGCTGTGAGAGTCTTGTTGGAGGTTCCAGGTGAGTTTAGGAGGGGAGTGTGGACAGGGAGTGGAAGCTGAGCAGGTTATAGTGACAGATTGCTTCTCCTTCAGATCAGCTGGGATCTCAATTTTGGGGCTCGGAGGAGAATCTGTCATTTAGAAACAGACTAAGAATCAGCTTTATTGGCCAAGTGATATAGTTTTTGTTTTTTAAGTCAAAATTGCACCTAATGGTTTATGTATTTTTACTCTAACATTTTTTTTAACTTTCTTACCTGTAACATTTACTTGAAGAGGATCATTACATGCTGTTGCTTTGGATCCACTGATCGCAAAGTTCTGAATTCTTAAGAAGTATGTGTTTGTAAGATTTGTGAGTGAATTAGAAACCAGAGTGGTGCAGTTTTTTTGACACAGATTTCCAATAATATTCATTGGATCATTTTTGTCAATAGTTATGTTAGTTGGATATAAATTGTTGTTTTGTTTAATCCACACTCCAAAGATACTCATGCCAGTAAAATCTCCTTTTTTAACACTAAAGTTACATGGGATTTGCAAACAAGATCCACTCAGTGCTTCCATCTTCTGTGGTGCAGTAATGATGATGGCTGGTGGTTGATTAGGACATTGAGCCAAAGCACCTGTAAAACCAGACTCATTTTTAACAAAATGTTAAACAAATCTCTTATAATAATAAGACAGGATATGCTTCAGCAGCAGGATGTTGCCTGTTGTTTTTTTCAATTGCTGCTAAAAAACTCCTGTATAAATTACCAGAATGTAAATTCCACTCTGTCTGCACTGCTTTCTGGCTGTAAATGATGCTCAAACTGCAAATGATTCAAGTGTCCAAATAATGAACAAACAGCTTACCTGAAATAAAGAAGACACTCAGTAACATGTTGGCTGTCACCATATTCACAGACAGGACTGCCATGTAACCCATCGTCTGGATTTGCAAACACAATAATGTGGTTACTTAACAAACATGTTTTTTAAGCTATTACAAAGAATGTAAGTAAATCTCTAGTAAGGGCTCACATTCACACCAGAAATGTTCACAATACAATCAGGATTCACTTTGTTATAATAAGTATTTAACATTTTTAAAACTTCACACTGAAACAAAATATTTGAGGTAAATTATAAATAATACCACACTAGTGAAATGCTCTTACCTATATAAATATTCAATCATATATTTGTTTTGTGGACTTCAGGAGGAGTAACAAAATTTTAGTTTTGGCTAAAAAGTCAAATCAGTAACAAAAACTTACAAGACAAGCCCACATCAGAGGAGAGCGCAGCAATGAGATCTTAGATGGGTGATTTTTAAATAGGAAATCCTTTAGTTTACAAGTTTGAGCTGAAGCGCAACACATAACCAACTTCCCTGTTTTGTAACTTAAACCAAGTTGACTTCCCCAGTTTCGAGACTACAGGGCAAAGCAGTCCACTTTGGTTTTGTTGTGCAGCTGCTAAATATAATCTGACTTGAGTGACTAGCGGTGAATATTAGAGAAATACAAGAAGTTCTTACATTTACTGCTCATATGTGAGTATTTTTAATCACATGACTCACTGTAACATAGGAACACAGTGCAACCGTAGTTGCTCTCCGGGCAGAAAGCAGCATTGAAAACATTGAATTATATCTACAAAAAAAATATTAGATTAAACTATAATTCACCGTTTTTCATGTAAAACCTGTGATTGCTTTTATTCCATAACAGTGAAAACACCTTGAAAACCCTTCAAATGCTCTGAGTTTGTTCACGTACAACACAAAAGTAATTATTTCACATAACCTCCCACTGTTGCAGCTTCCTCCTTCACCACCTGGAGCCCTGTGTTCAGTATTTGCTTTCCCTAAATCTTTCATTTCAAGCTTCTGCTTCTTCTTTGCTGATTCTTTAAGCTGTGGTTCAAAAGAACAGCAAATGAGTCAGAAAAGTCAGAAAGAGAAAAAGTCAGAAAATACAGACATTACTGAATATTGAACAAATATAAGGAGTATTTGCTTTAAGTAAAAAATATTGTATCAAAAACAGCCACTAGTACTGGTGGTATTTAAAAAGTTGTGCAGTTGTGATGCCAAAACCATAAATTATATCTCAGTGCAGCCTGGTGACCAAATACTGTGTAACAGGTTGGTCTTACTGTACAACAACCAATGTCATGTCCAACATCACCTGTTAGTACAGTCAAGGTGTTTTTTGACAAGAAGCTGAACACTGTGTGTGCTTCTGTTGTATTCATTAGCACAAGATGCCACGTAAAATGCAAACATAAGGAAATCAAAATGCAAAGCAGAACATGCAGCACACTGTGCTGACTGTTCACATGAAGTAGCTGGACCTTCTTTCATATTAAGAAAAATTAATAAATACACCATACACTAGTGCATTTAGGCTAATGTTTATTTGTCCAGTCCAGTTCAAATCCAAATACTTTTAAAAATAAGTTTTTATAGTGTAATTATATATACAGTATGACTTAGTTATGTTAGTCAACAGTATGTTTTGGATTAAATTTCATGTGAACATTTTTAGGGGTGGGTGAAATAACAAAAACTGTTCAAACTTTTGCCGAAAATTGTCACACTGTAAAAGAAATTGATTGAGAAAATACATTTTCATGGCCTTTTAGGGGTCCTCATCAAAACATTGTATATTGTGGTACAAATATCAGCCCATATATTATTAGTGACAATTTGATGGCCAATACTTCAAACTTTTTTTTAGAATAAAAAACCTTGTTAGCTGAGGCAACCCAACTGTCTAATCAGGTTGATGGCTCTCTTGGTTCCTCTGAATCCTTTGTTAAATCTAAAAGAATAAGCTGATGTTCCCCCCCTGGCCTGGTGGGTGTCAGGGGGTGTGTGTGTGTCCTTAAATTCTGTATGCAGAAACAATGAGGCAGAAACTTTAGCTTGCGTTCAGCTCGACTGCAGTATTTATTCTGCTTCAACAAAAGGAGGAGTTAACGTTCGACTTGCTGTAGTAATAAAACAAAATGCTTGTTGTAGCATCAGGTATTTCACAGTACTTTCAAATATGTAAGACATCACCATATCTTCAGAAAATACTAAAGTAATGATAACATATAGCACAGCTAACTAAATAATATAAATGTCTGTACTTTTCATTGTGCTTCAGTTGACATGAATTACATATTAACCAGTAGAACAACAAAAAACGAACTTGTACTCATTTGGTTCTTTTAACTAACATTTTCCTAAGTTCGACACTTTCATCACGTTGCACCTCAAACACTAATGTACAAGCTTACAGTGAGTAACTAATACATTTGCCGCTCATTGTAGTACTACTCTTCTGTCACACATTCAGAAATTACTGTATTTCCATCACTTTTCAAGTCGAGTACAATGCTTACATACACAGGGAAACTGTTTAACATAATGTGTTATACACACATTAGCACTGAATGTATTTTCAGATCAGTTAACAACACAAAACTAGACCATTAGCGTTTCTATTGTACTGTGGGTTACTCATTAGCAAAAGGTCCGCTAGCCTAGCATGGCAGTGTATAGCTAAACATCACTATTTCACACATTACGGCAAAACTATTCAACTCTAAACATTGCATGTTCTCACTAAGGATTCAAAACACACTTATCCCTTATACTAGGGTACATGCATGCAAATTTGAGGAACATTAACCCACCTGTATGCAGAAACAATGAGGCAGAAAATTTAGCTTGCGTTCAGCTCGACTGCAGTATTTATTCTGCAGCGCTTGCCTCCTAAGGGTTTTAAGTTCCTCCCACGCGCTATGCACCACCTAGTGACCTCTTTAAGCATCGCCCCACCAAAGTACAATACAATGAAATTGGCCTTTTAGTAACTATTTAATACATGGGTACAATAAATGATAGTATAATGAACTGAACTAATTAAATTACTTTTTATCTTTTATGCCTAACTGAACACATTTTTTAACCCTTTAACAGTTAAGGTTAAATCTGGAAAGATTACAATCGCTTCCCTTAATTTATTAGATGCTCCTCATTGAACAGGCTTTTAGCCAGTGGTGTGGAGGACAATGACAAAGTGTGATATTTATTTTTGGATTTCTTCTATTGCTGACAACAGCCTCCTATAACAAAATGTCTCCATGAAGAAAAAGTATGCACACCATACCTACTTGATACTACTTCTGTTAGGTTGGAATTAGTAGCAGGACTCAAATGCTAGACTCAGTACACAGAGACGCAAATGGTAAGATGTAACAAGGTTTATTGGGGGAGATACTTAAATGTGCAATGGGCTGGCAGAGTCTGGGGTAACAGGGGAAAGTGGTCCCTGAGTGCAGAGGGTTCGGAGTGACAGAGCTCAGAGAGGATCCGGTGGGGAATCCAATCTGGCCGGGGATCCAGAGTCCGTGTGCAGCAGGAGAGAAAGGAATCAAGTTCAGGTGGGGATAGTGCTTGAAGTGGAAAAAAATAATTGCCGGTACTCACTCCCCCATGTCCCGCCCCATGCAGGCTGTGATTGGCCGGTTCACGACAAATCAATTTTATTTATATAGCGCCAAATCACAACAACAGTTATCTCACAGCGCTTTTCATAAAAGAGCAGGTCTAGACCGTACTCTGTGATGTTATTTACAGAAGCCCAACAATTCCCACCAAGAGCAAGCATTAGGCGACAGAGGCAAGGAAAAACTTCCTTTTAAGAGGCAGAAACCTCGCGCAGAACCATGGCTCAGGGTGGGCGGCCATCTGCCTCGACCGGTTGGGGGTGGGTGAGAGAGAGAGAGAGAGAGAGAGAGAGAGAGAGAGACTACACAATATACACAGAGGTACAGACAGTAAAGGTGATAGAGAGAAATATACATAACATTCCATCAAACTAATTTTGACAGCTACTTACTGTCCCGCCCCCATACCGGATATGTGTATGTAACTGATAAGAGGGGTGTATCCGGTCCCGCCCAAACCGTAAATATGTGTGTGTGTAACTGATAAGAGGGGTGCGTACATCCTTCCGTTGTGTGTTTTTGACTGATAATTGGAGGAGGTTTTTCATTGATTTAAAGACTTTATTAAGTAATAAAACATGAACTTGAATGAATTAACTAGTAGGTGTTTATGGCAATAAATTTATCACTAAAAAGTACAGCAGTGAGTTATAAGTAAAGGAGGAATCTCCAGGGGCCAGCAAAGGATCAGTAGGAGGTTTCTTCATTGATTTGGAATCAAGTCAGTCTTTATTATTAAACAAGTAAAGAATAAATTGAAATAATTACAGTAAAGCAGTAAAATGGTATAATGGTGAGTAAAAATTAAACAGCATTATAAATTACCTTCAACAGCATGCAGCAAAATAAGAGTGAGTTCCAAATTACTTTGCTAGTGCTTTGTCTTACAAACTTGCCATCATTATCACTCAAAAGCTGTAGCCCCCTGTGTCTCCTCTTCTCTGTCCTCTCTCTTTCTGGTGTAGCATAGGCTGTGCAGGGTGAATTGAGGAATGTGATCCACCCCCCGCACCTTCTTCCATACCTAATTCCTTCCTTTGTTTTCTCAATGAGTCGTGTCCTCCCTTCCTCTGTTTTCTCAATGAGTCGTGTTGTGTGTTTTAACTGTCATTAGCATCTTCAGGTAATCAAGATCTCTGACGTAATTGCTGACGTAATCTGCACTCTGCGCATGCGTTGGCGTCTGTAGCCACTTGTCGGAAGCTCCGTCTTAAACCGGACTCTTATCCAGTTTTAATCCACTCTTTTTTTCCGTTACATTTTTTATATCCTTTTTATTTAACTTAACTTTATTTAAGTTTTACGTGGGTTAAGGATTTTAGTCATCCGACATGGATTTTAAGCTAGATGACCGTAAAAACGCGATCAACGCTACTGACCACAACAAAGCTCCAGTGACTATGATAGCCGAGATAACTCTGCCCCATGAGGACTGCACACTCCTTAAGAAAGCGAACAAAAAGATTGCTGACCTTATGGAAGACATCCGACGACTTTCAGAGGAACTCAAAGAGAAAGATTCCCTGCTGACTGGCTTTATGGATGTAGCTTCAGTACAAGCCAAACAGATTGTTTCTCTTAGCACAACCGCTAACATCCAGGACACCGTGTTTTGGGACCCCTCTACCCTTCCAAGGCTTTCATCCTGCTCGACTCCGAAGCATCAGTCAACCTGGGCTGAAGTGGTGGTCCGTGGCTGCAAGAGAGGCTCAGATGGGGCTGCCTCTCCTCCGCACATCGGCCTCTCCAACCGCTATGCAGCCCTGTCTAACGACACTCCGGTCCATCCAGCTGATGCACCTGCGGCTTCGAGTCTCCCTGATACGGATCTCTTTCGGCGCACAGTGCCTGCCGACACTGTTGCATCTCCTCCACCGGCTACATCTCCTGCACTGGGCCGCCGGTCTGCCGCCGGACCTGATCGGCGGCCGTCATCCCGGTCAAAAACCTCCGCTTCCCGACGTAGGATCCTGAAGGAGGCTGTGCTCAGACGCTCCGGAGGCCGTCTCTACCCTGCACCGTCGGGTAGCTCTTCTCTCAGGTCTGTTACTGCTACTCCAACACAACACTCAACAGCTCACACACTCCATCCTCAGTCCGCACGCAGTGTTGAAGCAGATTCTGCTCAGTCCTGCTCTGGAACCCCAC